GTCTCGCTCTCTCTCTCTCTCTCTCTCTCGCTCTCTCTCTCTCTCTCTCACACACACACACACACACACACACACACACACACACACCTTTCAAAATATGTTACACCAAGCATGGTGGTGTACATGTAATCTTAGCACTCACGAAACTGAGGCAGTTGGACCAGAAGTTTAAGGTCAGCCTGGGTGGCACATCAAGTTCTGGGCCAGCCAGGGATCCCCGAGATCCTGTCTCAAAAAGTAATAATAACAGAACTAAAGAAAATGAACCAAAAAAGGCAGTTCAGGGCAGGGGACCCCTGAAAACAAGAGCTGAGGCCACCTCTCCCCAAACAGATAAATATCAATTAGGAAGAAGTTAGAAAAGGCAGGCATAACGGTTGGTGCCTATAATTCCAACACCCAGGAAGCTGAGACAGGAGCATGGCCAACTACACAAAAAGATTGCCTCCAAGAAGCACTTTTTTGTTTTTTAAGACAGGCAGTGGTGGTGCATGCCTTTAAATCCCAGTGCTTGGGAGGCAGAGGCAGGAGGATCTCTGTGAATTTGAGACCAGCCTGGTCTACAAAGTGAGTTCCAGGACAGCCAGGACTACACAGAGAAATCCTGTCTCAAAAAGCCAAAGAAAAAATTACTTCTTTAGCCTTGGCTGTCCTGGAACTCACTCTGTAGACCAGGCTGGCCTCAAACTCAGAAATCTGCCTGCCTCTGCCTCCCGAGTACTGGAATTAAAGGTGTTTGCCACCACCACTACCTGGCAAGAAACACATTTTAAAAAGATTTTCCCCTCAGTGTATGGAAAAAAATTTTGTTACAGCCAGCAATGTTTTGGGTTTCCATCAGAACAAGCCATCTGCCCTGGGAAAATAAATGTCTTGACCTAGGTTGCCTCAGAAGCCAGGGTGTGGTGGGGCGTGTTCGCAGGTTAACCTAGAGGAGTAATCTAGGAGACTATAGAAAAACAGAGGGCAAGAAGCCCAAGAGTCCACCATCCCACTGGGCACCCCAAAGGCACCTGGGGCTGAAGACATGGAGGAACCTCTGGAAGCTGGGATTGGTCCTAAGGACTGTCTCCCCAGGGACGAGCAAGAGGCAGTCACTCACCCACAGGCTCCCACAGTCACTGCCTGCACGCTCACAGGACACATGAGTCAGGGAAGCCCAATAGAGAAAGAAAGTACGGTTCCAGCAGGGGTGACACCTGCAGGAGGCCACAGTGACTTCTCTTCATCATTTGATGCATGGTCAATAGGTAAAAATACATTTTTTTCAGAACCAGTTCTTTCCAGTTCCTCCAATACTGGCCTCTGAAATTCCTCCTTTAGGCATTCTTGGTGTAGGGCAAGCAAAGCCTTAGGCAAAGCCTCACACAAAGCGTTGGTCTCAATTTCACATGAAACAAAAGGCCACGGATGGCAGTAACATTCCAGGGGCTCAGTGTACGGACAAATAAACAAAAATAAAAGCAGAATTTCCACACTTCAACAATCAGGCCACATCCACTTGCTTTGGGCTTGACCCCTAGTGACCCATGATAATATATATATTTATCTGAAGCCTAACCTTTTTGAGGCAGGGTCTCACTGTGTGGCTCTGACTGTTCTGGAACTTGCTATGTAGATCAGGCTGGCCTGGAACTCACAGAGATCCACTTGCTTCTATCTTTCAGTGCTAGAATCAAAGGCATGGGCCACCATTCCATGCTTGAAGCCTAATTCTTTGTTTGTTGAGACAGGTTTTTCCATGTAACCCTGGCTGTGTTGGAACTAGCTCTATAGACAATGCTGGCCTGGAACTCAGAGATCCACCTGTCTCTGCCTGGGATTAAAACCCAGCCAGAACCTAATTCTTAATGAACACAGAGTGTTACAAATGCCCCAGTCTCAAGTACAACAATGTAACACTGTAACACTGGCTACGCAGCAAGGCAACTTGGTGTCCGCCTGTCCACAGGCTGGACCCCACACAATGGGACAGAAGCTAAGATCAGTTATTTCCTCCTGCTATATACGAGGCTCTCATGTCTTTCAGCAGTGTGATCCTCTCTGGACACTGGGCCTCTGAGTTTTAATTAATTCTCCCTTTGTTTACACTTTGATGAGTTCTTCTAGTGCCTGCACTACTGTCTGGCCTTCTATGCTGGTTCATACAGAAGTTGTCAGTTTTCTGTTTGCCTTTTCTCTCCTTCTGGTGTCCATGCATTGGTGTCTTGCACTACAGGCTTCCCTGGGAAGGACTGTTCTCCCTTCAGCTCTGTGCACTGGCTTCGCAGCGCACCTTGCAAACAGTGGTTTGATATCCTGCGCATGGTAACGTGTCAGTGAGAATCTATGGGAAAACTATGGCTATGCCTGAGTGTCCTCGCAACAGCCCATCCTCCTGGCAGCCCCGTCTCCTTCCCTCACACTCACCTGTCTGTCCCAGATGGGGTTCTTTCTGACTGTTCTGGCTTCACACGTGTGGCATGTGTGCCAAAAGACACCATGGCCCCTCTCTACTCCCGTGACTCCTCAGTATAGTCAAGAACAGGGCCGGCCAACCAGATCACACTTGGGTGTTCGGTTCATATCCATTCCAAAGGGGTGGCACTACACTCATGGTCAAGTGCCCTTAGCTTACTAGTGTGCCCAACCACCATCTGAAACACTTTCGACATTCTCTATCTCATCATTTGCACAGGAGCCTTGTAAGACAGACAGTATTATCTCCAGGTGAGGAAACTGGAACCCGGATTAAACAGGCAGCCTGAGCTGGGTGTGGTGACGCACGCCTTTGACCTCAGCACTGTGGGGCAGAGGCAGGTGGAACTCTGCATGTTCTATGCCAGCCTGGTCTACATAACAAGTTCCAGGCCATCTAGGGCTACCTGCCTCAAAACAAAACAAAGCAAAACCAACAACAACAAACCATAAACAGGACTTGGGCAAAGCCCTTTAGTCTCAGTCAGTGAGATGCCAGGGCCTGTGGTCTGTCAGCTACTTCGTGCTTCTGTTCTCAAGAGCCTGCCTGCTGCAAGCTTAGTGCCCGGAATCTCAGCACTCTGCGAACTTTTACCCTTGGATGTGCCGACATCCAGATATCCATCAGATAGTTGGGAATCTAGCTCTGCCATGTACAAGCCCCCTATCCAGATAGTCAGATGTTCTGACTATTGTCAAATGCTTAGGCATAAGTGGAAATGTATGTGCTCGGGCGTGTGCGTGCGTGCGTGTGTGTGGGTGTGTGTGTGTGTGTGTACACGAATGTGCATGTGTGGGTATGTGTGTGCATGCGTGAGTGTGCATGCGTGGGGGGGTATGTGTGTGCGCACTCGCGTCGCACTCGAGTGTGTGTCATGCTAAAGTGGATGTGTGCACCGTCCTAGGCTCCACCAGCAGTGCCGGTACCCACAGAAGTCATCCCTGAAAAGAGGACTTACCACAACTGAGCATGAAGGGACTGGTGAGCCAAGTTTCTCCTCCAAATCGGGGGCGCAGGCACCAAGGCAGGCCTGGGACCAGACTTTTTCCTGGATCTGCAACAAATTCATTCCAGACCCTAAGGAAGGAAGGAAACAAAAATAAAAACACCTGGGGGGTGGGAGCTCTGGTGAAAATTGGCGAAACTGGCAAGAAAGTTTCGTCTCTAGTGTAAATTAATGGGTCTCTTTCTTCGTTGTTTCTGCTTGCTTTTTGCTTTTTAGGATTTATTTACTTGCATTTTATGCATATGAATGTTTGCCTGCATGTATATCTGTGCACACACGATTGCACAGTGCCAGTGGAAGTCAGAAAAAAAAAATGTCATATGCTCCTGGCACTGGAGTAACCGATGGTTGTGAGCTGCCATGTGAGTGCTGGGAATGGAACCTGGGTACTCTGGAAGAGCAGCCAGTGCTCTTAACCACTGAGCCATCTCTCCCAAGATGTGTTATTCTTAATACTGCGTTTATGTGTTTGTTTGTGGTTATGTGCACATGACAGCAATCACCCCCAGAGCCCAGAAGAGGCTGTTGGGTCCCCTGAAGCTGGAGGTCCCAATGGTTGTGAGCCACCAGACACAGGTGCTGGGAACTAAACTTGGGTCTGCTGCAGGACCAGGGAATGCTCTTAACCACTGAGCCATCTCTCCAAGAGGCCTGAGCTGCACACTTGCTGTCTCCACACGTCATGATACAAGAAGGCCTCACGAGCTGCCCAATACGTTCAAGTGCCTGGAACCAAAAAATCATTTTTCTCTTTCCTCTTAAGACAGGGTCTCATATCCCAGGCTGACCCCAAACTTACTATGTAGCAGGACCTGGGACTTCTGATCATTTTCCCTCCAGCTCCAAGGGAAGGGATAACAGGCATACACCAATACACCCAGTTTTACTTGGTGCTAGGTATTGCCCAGGGCTTCATGCATTTCAGGCAAGCACTCTACCAAGAATGGTATCACCAATCCTATAACCTTCCATTCTTCATCCACTACCTGGCCTCACAGAAAATGGACTAAAATCTTCCTTCATTCGCCAACCTCCTCCCAGCTTCTCCTCCCTGCTGGCATCACTCCTGTTTCATCAGCTTTGATACCAAAAGCTCACAACTGGGAACAGGGCACGGTGGCATACATTAGCAATCAAAGCATTCCAGGCAGCAGAGGCAGGAGGATTGCTATCAGTTTGAAGCCAGCCTGGGCTACATATTGAGCTCAAGGCTAGCCTGAGACACATATAAAATAAAAACGGAAAAACCGTCTCATAAAAACTAAAACCAGAGGCTGGAGAGATGGCTCACTGATTAAGAGCTTATACTGCTCTTGCAGAGGACCCAACTTTTGTTTCCAGCATCCACATCAGGTGCCTTAAGGCTCCTACAGCTCCAGCTCCAGAGGGGTCTGAGGCCACGCACGTGCGCGCGCGCGCGCACACACACACACACACACACACACACTCAACTCACCTAAAATAAAGTAAATCTATTTTTTTTTCTTTTTTGGTTTTTTGATATAGGGTTTCTCTGTGGCTTTGGAAACTGTCCTGGAACTTGCTCTTGTAGACCAGGCTGGTCTCAAACTCACAGAGATCTGCCTGCCTCTGCCTCCCAAGTGCTGGGACTAAAGGCGTGCACCACTACCACCCGCCGTAAATCTATTTCTTAAAACTCTAAAATCTAAACAAAACAAAATCCCAAATGCTGAGTATGGCAGCACACACCTCTTATCCCAGAAATTAGAAGGTCAGTAGTTCAAGGTAATCCACAACTTTATTGTAAGCTTAAAGCCAGCCTGGGCTACAAGAGACTGTATCTCACAGAATAAAATCAGACTAAACAATAAATAAACACACTTCTCATAAATTTGCCAAATAGGAACAAAACAGTAAGTAGCCTGTGGGAGTCAGACTCCCAAGATGGTCCCTGATGATGCTTGCCTCAGGTACTTACACCCAGTGAGGCCACCCCAACCCTGATCCAGGTTGTTCCCTATGATCAGAAGGATGAAGCTGAAGGGATGAATCTGTCACTTCCAAGATCATCAAAACAACTAGAGTCAGCAGGCCCCTCCTCTCACTGCCCCCCTCCCCTCAGCAGGCCCCTCCTCTCACTGCCTCTCCCTCCCTCCCCTCAGCAGGCCCTTCTTCTCACTGCCCTTCCCTCCCCTCAGCAGGCTCCTCCTCTCATCGCCCCTCCCTCCCCTCAGCAGGCCCCTCCTCTCACTGCC